GGTCATTATTCCCATATTTATCCAAGAGCTATTAAGCTTGCAAATCTTTTTCTTGCTGTAGTCAATGGTTAACTGAAGACCCACAGTATCTATCACTATGATGATGAAAATCAGCACAGAGCTGGCACTCAGTCTCTGAGAATCTCATCATTTACTTCTGTCCTTGTGCTTAGGTATCATCTTGCAAATACTAAGGGAGTTGCAGTTGTCTTTGTCTAACTTGTGAGTGTCTTTGGTTTGGGGGCATTTTTGGTAAATAAAATTTTACATTTTTACATAATAAACCTGATTTATGACCTCATTTCAGTTTTGTGAAGATATTTACCATCAAAGTATGTGGTGGTATTGTGTTCCCCAAAATATTGTGCACCCTAATAAATTTATCTGGGGTCAGAGACAGAACAGCCACTAGATACAGAGGCTAGAAAATGGTGGCACTCACACCTTTAATCCTAGCACTCCAGAGGTAGAAATCCCTCTGGATCTTTGTGAGTTCAAGGCCACACTGGAAATGGCCAGGCATGGTGACACACGCCTTTAATCCCAGAAAGCAAACCTTTAATACCAGGGAGAAGGTGGTAGAAAGCAGAATGGTATATAAGACGTGAGGACCAGAAACTAGAAGCATTTGGCTGATTAAGCATTTTAGGTTTTGAGCAGCAGTTCAGCTGAGTCCCATTCTGGATGAGGACTCGGAGGCCTCCAGTCTGAGGAAACAAGACCAGCTGAGAAGTTGGCCAGGTGAGGTTAGCTGTGGCTTGTTCTGGTTCTCTGACCTTCCAGCATTTACCCCAATAACTGGCCTCAGATTTAATTTTATTAATAAGACCTTTTAAGATTCCTGCTACAAAAGTATGTTGAAGGTTTATTCTTTATAGATTTTTTAATATACAAAGAATACCGAATAGGTGAAGAATTGTCAAAATTCAAACAGAAAAGCATAATATACCTGAAACAAAAAATCAGGCAAGTTATTGGAAAGAAAAGCAAGAGGCTAAGATCCTGTAAGTAGACCCTAGCCTCACAGGCATAAGCCCCAGGAAGAAGGCACTTACCAATCTGGAAACAACATGGATGTTTTCTGACAAGACTGAAAGGCTGTCCTCTCACAACCATTGCCAGTAAAATCCACATCTTCCATGCTGCTTAGTTTTAGAACCCTTCCAGGGCAAGTTTCATTAGTCATAAAGGAGCATTCAGTTTGTCTCTATCCAGTTGTGTGTCCACTGCTATAGTCTGGTTCCATCTGTGTGATTAATTTAACTTACAAGTCCACATGCTGTGTGTGCATCTTACCACTTTTCTCTTTTGCTCGGCCTTACTGGGGTAAGTCTATACTAAATTCTTCATCAGAGACATGGAGACAGGATGGATTAGAACAGTAACTGTCTTTCTGCTGTGAACACAGATTCTTTGTTTTGGAAACTGGAAGCCTGGGATAGCTGGGAGGGATCCCATAGATGAAGTTTCTTGGGGACCAAGACCTTGGTAGGAGCTACTTCATCTCTGTTTCATGGTCTTGAACTCAGAAAAAAATCTCTTAGATTCTGCCAAGCTTATTGATGGCCCTCTGTCCTGCTGGATGTCTCCAGACCTGCTGCTTCCAATATTTTTCAGGGTTTTGTTAGTTCCTTGTGCTTCCATTTCCTAGTATGTTAATCTACTCTGGTAAGAAAGCCCATCAACCCTTCCAGTCTTGCCCTCCAGGTCCAAACACTCCCACCAGAATTCTATAGATTCAGCACATGACTGCAAACTGTGTCTGTAGGAATTAGAACAACAGAGGTAGAGATCCATTTTGGCTCATACCACATTTAGCACAAATATCATGAAACCTCCCATGTAGTGTCACTGTCACTAGCTCAATGGCAACAAAGCTACTTCCTGTTTCCTACATAAATATCCAGGGAGGCATTCTAGTGAATAGAGAGAAATCACCACGTTCCTTCCAACCCTCCTCCCTGAAAGTTTGTCATGGGCAACTGTGTTTGCTGAACCTGCAGCCCTACCATTCAAGGGCAATCTGCCTGTTCAGGGAATAATCTAGCAAGATCAAGGACATCCAGTGACAGAAAGGCAAGAAGTAGGGATATGCATGAACCACATACATCTGTCTACATGCTGAGGAGCTAGTTCAAAGAGCATAGCTTCAGAGTAAAGGACAGAATAGGTTAATAGAATAAATGTTTCAAAACAGACTTGGATGGAGGGGTTCTAATAGAAGATAGCAAGTATCTGCTTTTATGGAAGCATCATAGCATCAGCCTGAGAGCAGCAAATGGACATGATAGAAGTTAGGGCTGGGTAAACAGGAAGCCTGCAATTGTGATCATGCATTCCTAGGGTAAAGTGAAGCCCCATTTTCCCTCAATTTTTACTTTTTATGATTTGATGTACAGCCGTTACAAGGACAGAATCATGACAGTGGGAAGGGAACATTGTGTTTTATATTGACTTAGTTTGGGTAGTACATCTCCTACGCTTACCTTATAGCTTGCTGGATGATCTATAGGAGTAATTAATTCCATGAAAACAGGATACTCATTGTCCAGTCATAGACTTTTGTTCCAAGTAGTGTGCATTATTTTAGAAAATAAATCCAACATCAAAATCTGAAGCTGGGGCTGTGTGTATGCTCACTTTTCCTTCTCCAGGCACATGCTTTAAAAGCAAGGACCTCCTTTTATATATCACTCTTGAAGAACTGAATCTTGAAGCTCCTATCTCTGGGGAACCCATCTGGACTGAAGGGGAAACCATAAGCCTCAGATACACCATGAACTCAGGGATCTTTCATCATGACAGAGTAGAAAAGATGTGTGTAACTAGTCATAAAACAAGTCAGTACATGAGGCTGGTACCCTGGAGAAGAAAGAAAACACTCAGGGAGAAGGATTTTAAGTGGGACACTTACTCATAGCCACCATGCCTTTAATTCAGTTCCTCATGCTGTAGTAACCCCCCAACCATAAAATTATTTTTGGATACTTCATAAGTGTAATTTTGCTACTGTTATGAATGGTGATTTAAAATATTTTTGGAGACAGAAGTTTGCCAAAAGGGATTGTGACCCACAGGTTGAGAACCACTGTACTAGAGGATGATGGTATGTGTCACAATATTTCAGAGGACTTGAATAAGTACTTTGCACTGTTGGATGCTATAATGATTACTTTTTTCATCATTGTAAGAAGTTACTTGACAAAAAAAACTATTTAGTGGAGAAAATATTTATTTTGGCTCATGGTTCAAGGAATATAGTTCATCATAATGTAGAAGGCATGGAGATGGAAGGTCTAGCAGCTTTGACAATGAAAAATTGATCACATTTGGGCAGATCTGGAAGCAATGACAGGAAAATGCCAACTCTCAAATGGCTTTTTCATTTCTGCCTTTTTATTTAGTCTAGCACTACAGTCAATGGGATGGTGACATCAACATTTAGAATGGGTCTTTTATCCTCAGTTAAACCTCTTTGGAAATTCATTCAAAGATGCACCTCCTAGGAGGCTTCAAACCAAATAAAGTTGACAGTAAAATTTTACCATCACAGATACAGAACTGGTGAATGATAAGCTTTAGCATATGACTGAGTACATTTCCAAACAACATTTGGAAGGTCTAGGGTGGATACAAATTATTGTTTTCACTAAAATACAAGAGTAAAAAGGAAAATAGAAGATAGTCCCGTGCCAATGAATATAGCCTAATTTTGAAATAGCTTTTGTTAGGAGGCAGGATTAAATGAAGTCATGCCGACTGGAGAAGGCTAATCAAATGAATGGCATTATAAGAGCTCTAGGAAACAAATACATTAATTACCAAAGAAGCACAAAATTAGTATATGGCAGTTATACCATGCAGAAAATCTCTCATCCTAAAGGTTAGTATTTCATGTGTTGATACCCTGGACTTTGACATTCTTGGAATACAGGAAGGGTCCTGCCTTCCTGTACTCAATACACCAGCTATGTATGGAATATTTTTCAAGAATACCAACACTGATGGGAGGCAATACATATTTGTGATCATTTATTCTTTAATGAAATAAACATACAAAAAGAGATGAGCTGTATTTTGAGTATCATTTACCCAACTCAAATCTGTTTCAAATTTAGGAAGCCTCTGTATTTATATTTCACTCAGTAAGTTAGGTGAGGCCTAACAGTCTACTTCTTCTCAGAGTCCGTTGCAATGTTGATACCACATCCCAGTTGGCAGGCTGTGAACATGGCCTCTGTAGGGACAATACAAATGTAGCCCATCTCCATCTGTGAATAAGGACCAATTTTAAGTAAAAAGGAAAACCTGGATCCATTTCTCATACAGTATGTAGGTAAAAATAAAAATGAACCAGATTCACCTGAAGAAACTAGTCCTTAATAAGCATTATGGAAAACATAGATAAATCAATTTATGAGCTATGACTCAAAATCTATAAACAATAAGGGAAGTGTGGTAAGTTTTATTATATTGAAAATAATTTCATGACAAAAAGCATTAGAAAAATTACAAACTGAGAAAGTATTTACAAGTTAATAGCACATGAAGGGTTAATATCCCATAGACATGTCAAAGATGTTTACAAATAAAACTGAAAGACAAATAACACTATAAAATACCTTAAAAGTACATATAGACTGTGTATAGAGAAAGAAATTAAATGACTGTTAAATGCTATACCTAGTTATCATGAAAGAAATTAAAACTAACTGATACACAACCATTTTCTTTGAAAGGTAAAACTCAGAGTTTTCTACATTTCTTGTGGGAACAAAAAATGGTAAACTCACTGTGAATGGGAATATTTGCAATGTCTAGCAAGATATCTCACTGTTTTTTTTTTTTAAATAGGGAAAGCAATCCATACACCAGAGACTTAGACTCGAGTAGAGACAATGAGTAGCAAGTAGTATGTTGTGACAGCCCACTAGAAAGTCAGCTCAGATACATATCAACTAGGGGGCGTATTTCTTACTCAATGTGATTTTGTCTTTCAGAATGATAAAAGCCCTGAATATCAGCAATGTGAGTGAAAAGCTATAAAAATGAGTGAAATACTTCTAGCATACATTAACAGGAAAATTGAGGTGGGTAGAAAGTGTATATAGCATCAAAAGTATTTTTCCTTGACAAGTAAATATACAAACATATCTCATTTGTTTATATTGAAAATGTGAAATGATAGGTCATATATCAAGTGCTTCTCAGAACTAATCTCTGACAGCCACTAATTCATATTATTTCTCTTTCATCTATGCTTTCTCCTCATTACTCTGATAAAAAAAATGACAGGAACTATGCAGGCCTAGTAGTCATTATTGGAAGAAAATACCAAGTCTGAAAATTTCCAAAATCAATTTAAATTTTTGAGTTTAAGACTTTCAGGATAAGGATTTTGATTCATTAAAGTCTATACAAATTATATTTGTAATAAAAAGGCCACAATCTGAAACATTCTGGCCTGAGCATTCCTATAACTGAAACTTGTTGTAGAATATTATTTTAAGATATGTTACTTTTGTTTATGTTGCAATTTTTGAACTCTGTGAAGCTGTGTTACTATGCTTGTCTAAAACACCTGATGGTCTAATAAAGAGCTGAACAATCAATAGTGAGGCAGGAGAGAGAAATAGGCGGGCCTGAGAGGCCGAGAGGATAAATAGAAGGAGAAATCTATGATAAAGAAGTAGCCAGAGAAGGAGGAGGATATCAGGGACTAGTCACCCAGCTACACAGCAAACCATGGAGTAAAAGTAAGTTTTACAGAAGTAAGAGAACAAGAAAAGCCTAGAGGCAAAATGTAAACAGGATAAGTTAAGGAAAGCTGGCAAGAAACAAGCCAAGCTAAGGCCGAGCATTTATAATTAAGTATAAGACTCCATGTGTGATTTATTTGGGAGCTGAGTGGTGGGCTCCCATAAGAGCAAAAACAACTAACAACAGAAACTCAACCTGCATTGGCCTTATATTGCTGCTGTGAGAACTGAACATAAACCAGGTGACTAAGACTTCAAAACTTACACTCCCTGAGTTCTAGAGACCTGAAGTGTGAGGTTGAGCTTAGACAGGGCTAGCTCCTTTCAGACAGGCTGAGACACTCACCTTCTACAGCTTCAGGCTGCTCTGTCTTTGTCTTTTTCAGGTGTGGAGCTGTCACTCCAGCTTCAGCTCAAACTTCATAGGACACTGCTTTCTGTAGCATCTGCACCTGTACCTATGTTTTTTGCTCGTCCAGTAACCCTAAATAGAATCATGGCTCACCCTCATCTAGCAAGTGCTCATTTCGAATTGTACCTGCAATTTACCCTGTCCCTAAACACAACCATACCCTCTGATGCTTGAGGCAAGATGTTAATACGTCTCTTGGGGGGGGGACACAGCCTTACTTGTTTTCATCTGACCATATTTTAAATTTTAAAGAAGAAAACACTTAAAATGAGCTATACATATATTTAATGACTATTAATTGTTTGATACTTGTTATGTCTTATTAATCTACTATTGTGATGTTATAGTGTATTAGTAATAAATATAAAAATAGACAATTAGAATGTCAGTTTGATTAACTGTCATAAATACCTGCTGTGGGATGGTCTGTATGCCAAATTATTCTGATTGGTCAATAAATAAAACACTGATTGGCCAGTGGCTAGACAGGAAGTATAGGCGGGACTAACAGAGAGGAGAAAAGAAAGAACAGGAAGGCGGAAGGAGTCACTGCCATCCACCGCCATGACAAGCAGCATGTGAAGATGCCGGTAAGCCACAAGCCACGTGGCAAGGTATCGATTTATAGAAATGGATTAATTTAAGCTATAAAAACAGTTAGCAAGAACCCTGCCATGGCCATACAGTTTGTAAGCAATATAAGTCTCTATGTTTACTTGGTTGGGTCTGAGTGGCTGTGGGACTGGCGGGTGACAAAGATATTTCCTGACTGTGGGTAAGGCAGGAAAACTCTAGCTACAAATACCATTTGTTTTGCTCCATAGACATTTGGTGATTGATCCTTCCTTGCTGTACTTAACACTTACCTAAAATTCAATCTGGCTTTATGAAAGCTATTTTAAAAGGGTACTTGTAGTGAGTCAATCACAGTTTGCTTCTCTTAAATCACATCTACAGCTCTTTTATGTTGGAAGGTATCTCCTGGCCTTGGTTACACCCTCTCAGCTCTCTTGACTGTGAATCTCCCCCAGGATCTTCTGCTCACTTCCTCCTCGTCCTACTCACCAGCACCTGGTACAGGTTCATTGCTCTTTTGGGGGCCGTGGATTCTCTCACGTCTTTCCCATATAAACTTGCCTCCAGCTGACACTCATGTAACAATCAGCTAGGATGACAGTGATCTTGTGTTTTGTTGTTGTTTAAAGCAGCACCTAATGCTTGAGGAAAGGGCACATTTTGATTTTAAAGGTACTATTGAAAATCCGTACTTACTCAAAATTTATTGCAGGACCAAACACTACATTTTGCAAACAAACTCCTAGAAGTTCACACTTTCACCTGTAAAAATATACATAAATGAATTTCTTTCTTTTGATAGTAACTCAAACTCTGTGTTCTTTATGAAAGTGTAATTCTGGTGTTACCACAGCTTTCTCTATCCATGATTTAAACAGGAGTATAGCCTCAGGGATGGAGCTTCTGTGAGCACCTGGTGTTGAAGGAGGGTCCTGTGTGATGGATATCCAACAGCAGGTGGCCATGCTACTGAATTCTCAGAGCCAAGTCCATGTAGAATAAGTTTATGAAAGGATGTATATCAAATGTAAAGTGAAAGTTCAGGTATATTTTGAAGCTCTATAGTGATGTCAGCAGCTTTTTGAAACTAGCACTACTGAAAGGTGGTTTGGGAGAAGAACCTTTAGATTCTGGACATTGTTTAAAATTCTAACACACATAGAAGAGCTAGCTTTTAGTTGATATTATTTTAAACTATCTTTAGAGAATGTTCTCATGCTGTTTTATCCTAGGTGTGATGGCCCCTCACTGATGGTTTATAGCCACAAAGTATTACATAGTGTATATAATATGTATTTTCCTATGAAAGGAAAACTCATAGTCACTGGTTATTTACTCACTTCCTTACGGCTTATTCCCAGAAGTGCACACAGTGGGTCAGAGTGTAACAGGCATCTTTACACAAACTGACAAATAGAAAACAAAATTACTTTTCAAAAGTTCTGTATTAGTTCATAAACCAATCAGTGTGCATTGAATTAACATAACTTTACCAAGGCAGATCTTTAAATTTGGGTTATTAATGTCATATGCTTTCATATGACATTACTAACTGAGACTTACTCTTGTGTCTTAGAGATTTGGGAAGGATTTTGTTATGGAAAAAATCACTTCATAGAAAATAGCAGTGACCCTGATCAGGCAGAAAGTTTTTCAATAGACTTCTGACTTCCTGAGCTCAGTATTTGCTGTGTACAGATCTGTCTAGATCACTTCTAGTACATTCTTAATTAGTGATCCATTTCCAATAGGAAAACACAATTCTATTAAAGCATCTTCTTTGGATATTAATGTGATTTTGGCTCTATAATTTCCTTCCCATTGTTCCTTCAGACCACTTAATATTTCATATTGGTAATGAGTGAGTTCTTGCTATTTAGTGCTAATTTTAAACATTGCATCTATTTTTACAGTAATCCTTTTCAGTAAATTAAATAACTGTAATGTTTCTGAGTGTTCACTATATTCATTCCTGTTATAAACATAGACTGTGGCTTTACCCTGAAGCCACACATTTTCTTTGCTATGTTTTCCTGTAAAGCTCTTGATCTCTATTACCATGGTCAGTTCTGCTGACTATCTAGCCCATTTGACAGATTCTTGCACTGGATTCATGCATGGACATGAGCCCCACTATGTGGGCAGACACATCCTCCCAATGAATGTGTGGATATGAGATTCCACTATGTGTGGTGATATGAACTCTACTCTGCCCATAGATGTTTCACAAAGATACCACTCTGCTAGGGTTATTTTGCTGATCTCTCATTGTGTATGACAGGAGGAGAGAGGTCAACCAAGAGGAGAGCTCTAGATTGAGTACAGTTGGTCAAGATTCAAGACTAGAGTCAGAAAGAAACTGGCATTTACTAGGAAGCAAACAATTTTATTTTATCACAGTGCTTGTGATTGAGTTTTTTTTTATACTGTTTATAGGTGAGGAAACAGAAAAAGAAAATTAGCAGGTGTTGGTAGAATTGCTGCCCCCTTATGGTTTCATGTATATGTATATGTATGTATGTATGTATGTATCTATTGTCTGTCTATCTATCTATCTATCTATCTATCTATCTATCTATCTATCTATCTATCTATCTATCTATCTATCTATCTATCATCACACTACATCCCATCTCATTTTTAAATACTGAAAAGCCCCATGAAATACTCCTGATATATAGATATCTGTCTCACAGTTGTTTGACCAGAGGTATTCTGTCCCCAGGACACATTTGACAAGGGTGTGGGAATCTGGGCAGTCTCAGCTGGAGGAAAGATATTACAAGCTTCCTGGGGATGGAGGTTGGCATGTCACTTAGTACAGGGTCATTGGAGGAAAGCATCTATGGGGCAGGTTCATGTTTATGCTGACACTTTGCTGCTAGAGGCAAAGGGAGAAAAATTTCCATGGTGAAAGTTTTAAAGAAAATGGAGGAGTAGAACTGGGGGGAAAGGGAGGTGGTGGGGAGCAACTGGGAGGAGTGGATAGAGGTCAAACTGGGGATATAATATATAAGAGAAGAATACATTTTTAAAAATCAATTTGAATTGCAAGTGACATTTTTGCACATTTTGCACTCATGGATGTATAGAAGGTGGTGTTTTATAACCTTGTGGTCACAATGAAGACTCACTGTCCTCTCTCTTGCTCTTATGCTGCTGTCCCCTTTCTTTCATGAAGACTGATGCTGTGTTCCAGCCATGTAGAGAGTCTCACACCTGAATCTGGATATTCCTAATGAACAATCACAGTACCCTGAGGAACTTGCTAGTTATAAAATTAACTATTGACCTATTTACTGTGTATGCACTGTATTTACCATCTTCTTATAATGAAGGCAAC